GATGGCTGTAGTTGCAATCGGGTGTCCGGGGGAATTCTTTGATGTGAGACAACATAGGTTTCACTTGTTACGACAAAATGATTGCTAACCATTCAACTTCCTGATTTTGGGAATCTATTTAGCTCAATTTAGCCATCCTTTTTTAAGGAGAATATGCCCCACTCGGAATTGTTGGAGATTGGATATGGGAAGAATTATTGGATGTGAGTGATCTTTAGGATCTACCAGAGTGCACTCATTGATCAACATGGAGGGTTATCTTAGAAAAAGTTAACAATCACAGCAGACATAAACTAGTCTGGGAAGTTTCACTCTTCTTCGACGATTTGGAGGGACTCGACTTGCCTCAGCAAGAGGACAGGCTTATTAAACCACCTTCTCCAGAATAGATGCAATTGATTTCTCTGCCAGTTGTTGAGTTTGAAATTAATATCATGCTGAATGTGGGGATTGGAACAAGAGTTAATCGTAATTAAGATGTGAAAACTTACGGCTGCAAGAAGAATATGTTGTAGAAATTCAGCTGTTGGGGTTTTGTCAGATCAGTAGGAGGCCAGATTTTGTTTTTGTAAAAAAATTAAAGCTACTAAAAGAAAACATCAAAAGTTTAAAACAGAATTGTTTTCTGCTAGTGGCATTTGAGGAAAAAGATACTTTGGACGAGTTGCACATTTTTGACCTTATTGAGCAACATAGGTCATCTCTCATCTGATAGAGATAATTTAGAGAGACGAACACAAAATATTGCTTAACCAAGTGGCATATGCTGATAGAGATACCATGGAGGCAGAAGTCCCGTCTCTTTGGCTAAATGAAGGATATTGGAGCACCTGACTTATCCACAAGATTACAAGTTCTCGCTGCCAATTTAATACTACCTCTGTCCCTATTTATGTGACACTTTCCTTTTTAGTCAGTCTCAATAAAAATGACACATATCTATATTAGTAACAATTCAACTTTAAATTTTTCTTTTTATCCTTAATGAAATGATTTCTAGCCTGTTTTACATCACAAGTTTCAAAAGTCTTTATTTCTTAAACTTCGTGTCCAGTCAAACACCTTCACATAAACTAGGACGGTGAGAGTTGCATCTGATAGCTCTGTATAACTGGACAAGTATGGAGGATGCAAAGGTAATAATTAAGAGATCTTACATATTTACCAAAAGCTGATTGAGGAAATCTTACTTAAGGGAGTCTAGTCCATCTCTACTTTTGTACACTTGCAGTATCCCCTTTGTGCTGAAGTTTTTAATAAAATTTTTCCTTCCTTATCAGAAAGCTGTTAGAGGAAATAGTGTTTGGACCTCTCGGAGACGTAGTACTATTATCAATAGAGGAAGGGGAATCTGTATCGCATTCGGAGCCAACTCCTCTCAAGTACCGGATACCAAGAATCGATCTGGACATTGAGTCCTCCAACATGGGCCAAGTGAATCTGGCAAAAGAAGACCAATAAGAAAATGGTGTTCTATAAATTTCGAGAACTCCTACATTAACCTAGGCATCACCCTTCAACCAACCCTTTCCCCCGGGAATCTATTAGTGTTAAAGTCCCCTCCCAGCATCCTGGAATATTCCATACCCTCAAAATACCCACCATCTCATCCCAAAAAGTTATCTTAGACCCTTACTCCACAGACTATACACATCTGGAATCTCCACTCCATCTCCCATATTTCTAAATCGGGCTGCTAACATGAGCTCGCCTTTCTTCACCTCCATATTCTCTAACTTCTTTTCATCCCAAAGTAAAAGTATTTCTCCAGCGCTCCCCCTAGTAGGTATAAAGTCATATTTTACCCATCTCCTCCCCATACATTTCTCACAACACTATCCGACACCATTCCCATTTTAGTTTCCTGAAAAGACAGTAACGCTACCCAATCATTCTCTAATCTGCACCTTGATGACAGCCCTTTGTTCGAGTCAGTCATCCCTCTAAAACATTTCAACTGATGATTTTAATATCCATCAAACAAAACTGTTTCTTTCCCCACCTCCTTTCCCCTTCCCATCTCCTTATTCCTCCTATCGTAGACACCATATTGCCGTCCCCTTTTTGTGTCACCCTCTAGTGCCTCTTCCCCTCTTAAAATTTTTGTTTTCTACGCCTACATCTCCTTTTGACTCTCGTTCTATTACTCTATATCAAGTAAGTGTCCAATAACTGTATCCACCTTTCCTTCAAATGAAACTCCAAAACATCCCAAAGCTGGGTCAAGTGAGTTCGCCGCCTGCCCTCAACTATCAACCTGTTTTTGCTGCTCCTCCACCACCCCATCCCTTTCTACCAACCCCTGATCTCCTTGATCCTTAAATGACACTGATTAGATGCCCGACCATCAGAAAATTCAACAATATCGACTTTTCAGTGATTGCCAAGAAACATTTTGCATGGGTTTTGACCTTGAAAAATAAGTATCCTGCTTTGGAAGACCTCTTCCAGTACTTTTCAGCCCTTCCTTTCTTTTACCCAAGCCTGTCGCTCTTTCTGAAATTGAAGAAATAAAGGTTATGTGGCTTTCTATGCATTTTTGGCTTGTTCCAGCCCCCGCCAACTTCTGACGACCCTTTCAACTGCCTCGCAACTGCTGTCTGGCTTACTACTCGCGGGAGGAAGTGAGCCCATCGAGTTTGGACACTCTCTTGGGCCTCAGGACACTTCCCTTCACCTTTCCCTTTGATTGTACTCCATTAATGGTCATCTGTGAGCTCTACCATGCAGTGCCATGGCTTTTTCTGGCGCTATCACTGCCTAATAGTGATCATCAAATCAGTGACACTTTCGTTCCGGGGGGATATACTTTGGACTGGTCGACCCAGATGGTTCCTCACGGTTAAAGCCAAAGTTTTCAGTGAATCGCTTCAAAATTTCCTCTAAATCGGTTCACTAATCCAGGGGTATTGCTGTCCTTTCATTTTTATTCTATATTTAATTTTTACCAATTTGAATTCCCCCTCCCCCACTTCGTTCCAATCAACTGTTACCGGCTTGAACACCATATTTTCAGCCAGACAGTCCGACCTTCAAATTTTCTAAACTCCGACTGTTCTCCCCCATACGATCCCTTCACTTCGTCCATTCCTTCCTTCCGTGCACCTCCCCATTAGCATTAAGCACCTCCGGCTCAAATTCGGAAAGTCATAACCAGTAACAGAGTTCCCTAGCCACCACCACCATGGATACTGGGAATTTTTCCCCTTTCTTCACAAAAACTCACTCTGGACATATCGTTTATGCTCCACAGATATCCCCCACCCTTCTAAACAAGTCCACACTCCACGTGTGCGCCGGAACGCGGAAAATATTCACTGCAATAACACCTTCGCGCACCCTTTTCTCTACACAGCCTACACCTTCCGACAATCTCTCCAGCTTCAAAATACTCCCATTTCATCCATCTTTGGACTTCTTGAAAAACCCTCTAGCTTCCCTTTCTGATATGAATCTAAAATCTAAAAAAGAAAGTACAGTTCTGCTTTGATGTTAATCCCGTTTTCTTTCGCCAAGCTTCAGCTGTCCAGTCTGAGATCATCTCTGAAGAACCAGCCCACCTTGCAAGTTACTCACTAAGCAAGTTCTCAAAAGTATTTTTCTTCTCTCTGCGTATTCATTTGGATTCTAAACCTGGGTTCTAAACCGGCTTCGACTTTCCGACAGCTTTCTTCCATGTCCAGAGCTGGCCAAGTCAAGACATCCTTATAAAACTAAAGGTTGAATTTCCTTGCTTCTATAGAGAAGTAGGAGTCTCTTTCTCTCTCTCTAAGTCCAAAGTTAGCAAATGATTTGTTGGTCGTAAATGTTTAGATTCAGAGGTAGGTGCGAGTACTTGTGGGTAGTTTGCGCGTATGACTGTCAGCTCAGTTTTCTCTCTTAAGACTTAAATATACTGGAAAGAATTAGATTTAACATTGAATGGGTTCCGAGGACCTATTTCACATATGAAGAGTATGATTTCTGATCCTTCTCGTAGGGAGTCGTTAACGTATCTTTCTCTTCATACAGTTGTATGCAACATGGTGATCTACTCTCTCTACCTTGATTTTTATTATTATCATGGAATGCTTGAGAGTGGGATGTCGAATAAGGTCGTGGATGTGGGTGGTTAAAAGGCATAAGAGTTGGTGCAGATTTGGAATAGTTACATGTTTTTTTAACGATACTATGGCATACTGTGAGTTGGAAGTACATTGAGATTTGCTAGTAGTACCCATTTTTGAGGTTGTACTGGAGCTTCAGAGCTACTGTTCTTCTGGTAGCCTTTTTACTTTCAGAGAGTGAACCTTGTTATACTGTTAGTAGTGTACTCTGCCATGGTGCTCTCTTCTTCGGGTTATACTCTTAAATGCGCAGATGAAATGGAGTGATATTTGCATTTTGCTTGGACTTCCCAGTCTACTCTCATTTTCAATGGACTCCTCTGGAGAGTGTTTGATGCATCTAATGCGTATTGTTTTTTACTGATTCCTCTACCTTTTTCCTTGTATAATCTTTGGAGATCTCGGTCCAACCCCACCCCAACCTCATATGGACACTTACATTCTGAACCATTCATGAACATCACAGCAAAGCAAAAATGATTAAAACATTTATAGTTCCTACAGTAAATAAGTAGCTGCGCAGCAGCTACAAAATAGGAGTTATAAGGTTTTCATGAGGCTGATCTTGGGCCGCCATCCAAGCGCGAATATCTTTGTTTAAGAGAATATTTTTGGTGTAGGACGTCTCAAATTCAGGATCTTCCGCTGCGCGAATTTCCTGAGAAACGAAGTTTCTTTCTTTGAGATTGCAATAGGCATATAGCATGAACTTCTGTCAACTTGTATGCTTCTGCTTTATGCACACTTATGAATAAGACCAAGGGAAGAAAAATAATTCTTGGATCTTTTTGGATGTGTTCTGCATTTTGTGCTCATAGTAACACTAACTTGATGCATTAGTTGATTGTTGGCGTGAAACCTAATTTGTCTTTCTTTTTCCATGTAAATACACAGCAAGGAGAAGCGAAGAAGGCGTTACAGGTTCTTCAGAAGCCTAATGTTTCAACGGAACTTCAGGTATCGTTAAAATCTACTCCGTCTGTTTCAATTTAGATGACACACTTTCCTTATTAGTCCGTTCCAAAAAGAATGACACATTTCTACAATTGGAAATAATTCAACTTTAAATTCTTCATTTTACCCTTAATGAGAAGCTTTTATAACCAAACAAATGTCATGACCCCACAAAACCTTTACCCCTTGAGCTTTTATCACAAGTTTCAAAAGTCATTTTTTTTTCTTAAACTCCGTGCCGAGTCAAACTACCTCACCTAAATTGAAACGGAGGGAGTATTAAGTAGTGATTATGTTTGAAATCTACTGTAAAGCACCATCCCCTACTTGGCTGAGAACTTCTTAGCCGGAATCTGTGAAATTTTTATTGCTTGAAGTGATAATTCTTTTGTTCTGTTACAGTACAAGTTTGCGCCAGACCTCATCATGCTTGATGCATATGAAACTGTTGAGTCATGGATGACCACTAAAAGTTTGAACCCGAGAAAGCTCATTCCTGCAATGATGCGTTATTCAAGTGAACCACATGCAAAGTAATGTGCATCTCTACCTCACATCGAGCTCTGTGATGTTCTTCTTACTGACATGTTCTTCATGACCTTTCGTTTTTATGTGATAAGTTTTTTTTCATTTTAGTTGTATGTTAGTTTTGTGGAGAGGGGGCAGTTGAATTGGATTCTTTTCCATGTGTGACCTACTTTAGTCCTTAAAGAGTTGTCATGTAACCAACGTGCATATAATGTGCGTCCTAGCCTATCTTATTTTACTGATGCTTCAACTTCGATAATCTTTCCTTTTAGGAGACCTTATCTGATTTCTTGGTGCAAGATCAAGAAGGCCTAGAATCCAAGAAATCAACAAGTCCAGGAATCCATTTAAGATTGGAGTTTCTTTTCCATAAAGATTAGGATTTCTTATTTCCTCTTTTAGTAGGATTATATTTGTAGTTCTAGTCAAACTAGGATTGTTAGTTGGTATTCCATTCCTACTAGAATTCCTTTTCCTATTTTAGTTAGAATATGCTTTTCTTAACCTTATTCTTAGTCTAGTTCAATTAGGATTAGTTTTCCTTTAACCTCATCAATTTTACTCATTGTAAGGTTATTTAAAGGGCTCAATATGCTGAAAATAAAGGTTGGTGATTAGTTTTTCTAAGCTTTTGCTTCAAAAATGTGATTTCTCTTCTGGTTGACTTGTCTTTCTTTATTCAACGCTTCTTGCAATCTTGCGGGATTGAAGAACGTGTGAGTAAGGTTTTTTTCATCTTACATTCTTCTCACGTGAGTTTGAAGAACGTTTTCGCTAGTTTGAAGGTTCTTTTGTTTTTCTCTTTTCTCTGTGCTTGATAGGTTCAAAACCTTGAAAGTACATCAATTTGGTATCAAAGCATATGTTCCAGTTTCGAATTCTTGGTTTGCTATCTTATTCTTCGTGTCACTAGACAAGCAAGTAGCAAGTTCGGGATTCTCTCTAATCGATCTTCAATTAAAAATTCAAAAAATTAAGAACTACAGTCCTTGAACGAGACGATGAAGAAATTGAAGTGAAGCTAAATGGCCTGAAGGAATCAATGGAGAATTTAGCTGAATTAGTTGAACACATGGTGGTTCAAAATCAGCCACCAAATCTATCACAACGCCTACTACCTCCACCACCACGACCACCTCTACCACCACATAACATACCAGTGCTATCACCACGTCTACAACTTCGATATCCACCACTTCAACCACAAAGAACAAGATATATTGAGCAAGCTGAAGAGGTTGAAGCTGACCAAGGCGTAAGAGTCCCAAGGTCCCATGCCCAATATGATAAATATACAAATAATCAAGGGCGTGAAGAGGACGAAACTGATGAAAACCATTATCAAAGAGACGAGGAACATGCATTGGATCCACAAGTTGAGGATTTACCACCGAAGTTTTACGATGATCCATTGGAGTATCCAGCTATGTGTGTCATTGACTTTCCGCCTTTCAGAGATGCTCAATACAATATTGACTTGATTGTTGACGCGATCATTCCAAACAAGTCAGCATACTGCGTTAATCCTAAAGTCCATAAAAATATGCATGAACACGAGGAAGGATTACCTAAAAATGAGTGGATAATGGAGAGTTTAAGGTATGTTGGAGAAACAAGATGTCTTCACCTCATAAATATATATGGCCATCATGAAAGTGACTGTTGGCGTACAAGCATACGAATAGATGCAGTCTCAAGAAGAGCGTTGATCTCAATGCTTAATTCAAAGCTAGACATGGATTTGGCTAAGTTTCACGTAGTTCTGACATCAATAACTTCATATTGTAAGTTGAAGTTTGAGAGTCGGCTTGGTAGAAAATTGAAACTTAGAAAGTGGGATTTAGTTCGACCACATTCTAAATTTTCTTCCAACATGAAGAAGCTCTATGATAAGCTAGCAAGATGTAATTTAAAACCTGGTGAGCATTTGGGTACCTATTCTTTACCATAGCAATTCTTGCACCATCTATGTAAGTTGTTAGACTTGAGGACGAGTTTTTTTCAACCAGGGGGGAATGATGCAAGATCAATAAGGCCTAGAATCCAAGAAATCAACAAGTCCAAGAATCCATTTAAGATTAGGATTTCTTTTCCATAATGATTAGGATTTCTTATTTTCTCTTTTAGTAGGATTATATTTGTAGTTCTAGTCAAACTAGGATTGTTAGTTGATATTCCATTCCTACTAGAATTTTTTTTTCTATTTTAGTTAGAATAGGCTTTTCTTAACCTTATTCTTAGTCTAGTTCAATTAGGATTAGTTTACCTTAACCTCTTCAATTTTACTCATTGTAAGGACTATTTAAACGACTCAATATGCTGAAAATAAAGGTTGGTGATTAGTTTTTCTAAGCTCTTGCTTCAAAAACGTAATTTCTCTTTTGGTTGACTCGTCTTTCTTTATTCAACGCTTCTTGCAATCTTGCGGGATTGAAGAACGTGTGGCTAAGGTTCTTTTCATCTCACATTCTTCTCAAGTGAGTTTGAAGAACGCTTTCGCTAGTTTTGTGAAAAACTTTAGCGGGGTGCTTTTGTTTCTCTTTTCTTTGTGCTTGAGAGTTGCAAAACCTTGAAAGTGCATCATTTCTGGTGATGTTCCTATTTCACTTCCTTCCTCCATGATGGTGCATTGGTTTAGAAGTTTCCTTTAACTGACTGGTCAATCGCAAGTTATTGTTAGTGAAGGTTTCTCTGCTTCTTGAGCAAATGGGTAGAGAGGGATGGCAATTTTTGACAGTCAACTAAACCTTGGCTACAGGGCATGGGTGAGGATTATATATTTTTTCCTGGTATTGAGACTACGTCTATGACTGATTGTCACTAATCTACTGTTTCTAGGACTATGTTGTGTTCTTTTTTCCTGCAAATTGGTCTTAACATAGATTAAGGTCTAATGACACTGCCTCAGTTGATTGACATCTAATTGATTTGAACTCCTAGTAACCGCAAGTGACATCTATTTGTTGTATACGAAAGATATATAAACAAATATTAAAGTTTTCCCTTTTCAACTATTAAATCTTTTACAATAAATCCTTGTGGTCCGGCCCTTCCCCGGATCCCACGCAGAACGGGAGCTTAGTGTACCGGGCTGCCCTTTTATTTCACACAATTTAACATGGGACAGGAGTGGGTAGAGTCTTGGTTTGTGTCTGACTGTCACTCATTACCAAAAATTTCAGGTGCTTCTCCAAGAAAAGCCATGTGACATGTTCATTAAGTGCATGTTGCAGACTAAACGAATGAGATTGCATAGAGTAATGTCCTTGTATATTTGTCTGTAAAATATTGCTTTCTTTGCAACTACATTCCAATCCTACTGGTTATGGGATGCCATTCAAAAGGTTGTCTAATTTACATTTTACTAATTACTATGCAGTTGCTGAAATATAAAATATACATGAGAACATGTGCTAATATGTGAAAATAATCTAGAGATATTCTAATCAATAAGAAGTAGATAGAATTCGCAACGACCTTACATCCTGGTATTTTTGGAGGTTTATTTCTCCTGTTTACTCTTGTCTCTCCTGTTTGAGAAAACAAGAAAATAGAAGGATAAATGATATATTGATGACTTGTTTATACAATATTGCGTAGTTTTATGTGTCAGTCACAATAAATATATGGTATTTGTCCATGTGGCAAAATTTAATTTTAGAATTTAACCCTTTAGTATTTTACTACTCCCTTCGTTTCAATTTATGTGAACCTATTTCCTTTTTTACTCCATGCCAAAAAGAATGACCTCTTTTCTTATTTGGAAATAATTTACTTTTATGCAATGATTTATAGCCACACAAAATATATGTGCCTCATTTTACACCACAAGTTCAAAAGTCTTCTCTCTTTTCTTAAACTCCATGATCAGTCAAATGAGCCCACATAAATTGAAACGGAGGAAGTATAATAGTCTAACACTATTGGACTATAGTAAAAGGAATGTGTATTCATATGCCGACTCCAACTTGTTTGGAACCGATGCATACTTGTTTACCACTAAAATTCTGACATGTTCCTTGAAGCAAGGTGGGCAAATCTACCTGAGTTTGCATAATCCGAAAACTCGAAAACAAGCTGTCAAACGAAAACTTGCCTAAGGGTGTGTTTGGAAAGCTACATGGAATTGGATTGTAATTACACAATTTGGCTTGTTTATTTGGCCAAGTAATTACTTGGTCAACATTGAATTAATTGTAATTGAAGGAGTGCAATTACACCCCCAACTCCCCCCCCGGGNGGGGGGGGGGGGGGTCACTAATTGGTGGTAATTACATGCTGTAATTACTTTTAGGTGATTTTTTGTTATTTTTACAAATATAAATTACTCCTTAATACTTTTATTTTTCTACTCTTGTTTTCTTGTTAAACATACTCCANATATATATATATATATATATTATCATTTTAAAAATGAAATGAATTTTTAATTATAGATTACATTCACATGAGTTGGTTGGAATATTTTGAGTTGTAATTGGTTTATTATCAATTAATTAGAACTAAAATTTTATTCTTTCGAAAGATACCATTTTCTGTTTGCAATACTAGTTATGCAATTATAACTATTTAATATATTTTCAATAGGAAATATGTATTTTAAATTACCTAGTAATAATGATGATCTAATGTTTTTTAGATTTAATTGTTTTGAAAGATATCATTGGTTGTTCGCAATATTAGTTATGCAATTACAATTATGTAATATATTTTTGACCAAAAATATGTATTTTAAGTTACCTAGTAAATGATTTAATATTTCTTAGATATACATATCTGTCAGCCGTTGAAACTCATTTACTTTTTCATATTAAAAAGCATATTTAATTTTTATAAGATTAATATTCATTTTTAATTAACAAAATCTCTAATTATGCAATTACCACTGTAACATGTTGGTAGTAACAATGTAATTTATGTTATTGCAAACAAACAAGTCATTGAATTTACGAAGTTGTGTAATTACTACACTGTGTAACTACTAGGTGTCTAAACTCACGTTGTCAAAAAACATGCTTGAAAGTCATTGTAAATGTTCTGATCATTGGAATCTCATAGTAAAAGTTGCCGGAACGATTGGAGAGAAGTGGTGGCGCTGGAATAGCCACCAGAAAAGAGGTGCTGTGCTGTAGGAGCAATTTTTGAAAAAGAGGCACAATGTTGTTGGACAATCACCGTAAATATGCAACATGTGGCCGAAAAGGTCACTAGAAATAGGGAAGAATGGTAGATTATGGCTGGACAAGGTGTGGCCTGAACGTCCACGAGAAAGAAGGGGAAATAAGGAAATAGTGAAAAGAAATAAAATTTGATCCGGCAAACATAAGGCTACCTTTACTGGTAGGCAAAAGCTACATAAGCCTCGACTAGAATTGTAAATGCTTTGGTACCATGTCAAAAATAAGAGAAGAGAAGAGACATAGAGATGACTTAATCATGCAAGATACTTATTTATAGATGTCAAACAAGATACACATATGATATTTGTTCAATGTGGGACAATATCTAATTTAAAACACAAATGCTAATACTGAACATTCTAATAGTGATTGTATAATGGCTGACGGTACCCTCTTTAATATCTGGAGTACTTTTGGTTTGTGATATTACAATGTTATTTGTAATTTACTCAAAATTTCTGCTGAAACCTGAGTGGCGGAAAGCAAATGTTGTGGTTTGCTTTTGTTGATTCGGGGCTTCTTGCTATGCTACAACACTATCGGGGCTTCTTGCTATGCTACAACACTATGTAAATCCATTTTGATTAGTAATATATTCAAACAGAAAGATACTGGCCATCCTTGTTCATAGTGGTGGGAAGTTATCTTGAAACTACTTGGTCAAGGGTTCAAGGCTGGTAAACGGGCTCAAACAAAATAAAAAGAAAATACAAACAGAAAGATATATCCACCATCTATACTATCCGATTTAGATTTTGATATATAAAAAAGAATCGATTTCATTCAATGTTTGATTCAAAGAACTGCGCTTAGCGCACACCCGGGCTCATGGAACGGCTCTGCTGCAATGAATGGCAGAGGTTCTGTAGTACCCAAAGCACTGGAGTGATCCAGTAGCAGAGAAGGGGCCTAGAAGTGCCTATACTAGACCATACTACACTTGGCTCAACATATTTACCCCCCCTGCTTCTTCTGAATTTAAAGGTGGACTTGAGAAGGTAAGGCAATGTTTAGTACCTGCCAAAGTTCTTATAGCGGTCACTATGGTATCTTTCGTAGGAAGGCTGGAACTCGCTTAAAACATGAAGCTTTATAGGCTAGAAAGTAGAAACACCAATAGGCCTTACCATCTAGGTTTATTTTGTGAAGCAAACATCATTTGCTGGGTTTTTGTTAGGATTTCATACGGTTAAGTCTTTCTAAGTATCCTGTGTTATAGTGTTTCTGTACATCAAATGGCTTGAGCCTTCAACTTCCAGAACTTTAAGGTGATCTGGATATTGTGATTCTTCACTTATTTAGGAGAAGAACTGTCAGTTTGGTTTGCATTCAACCGATCTTTTGTAAATTGAAAAGCTTTGATTCAGCTTTGTTCTCTTTGTTTCTTCTGTGAATTCTCCTTGACTTGTTGCAAAGGTAAATTCATGTTGATTTCCATATATCTTTTAGTTTTTTTCCGATAATTACTTAATACTTTATACTAGAGAAAAAAAGAAACTGCACAAATCTCATCCAATCATCTAGGATTCTACAGAAATTGAAGACTTTTGTGTGCTCTAGCAATATATGTGGAATAGCAGTATGTCATAATGTGCAGCATGAGTTTCTTCACTCTGAAGGCCCTCCTTTTCCTTCTTTTTCCCGCATTCAAGATATCCTTTATATGCATAGTCTTAGTATTTTTCGGTTAATATCAGTTCTACTATTTTTTATGAGATCGTTTCTACCGTATGCCACCTGCAGGAATGAAACTCATGAAGTAATCAAGTACCTGGAGTATTGTGTTCATCGTTTACAAAATGAGGATCCTGGCGTTCACAATCTGTTACTTTCCTTATACGCCAAAAAGGTTCAAGTTATTTAGCTTTTGCAATGCTTATCTGGTCTCATATGTGCATGCGGGATTTATCCATCTTTCCATTTTCTTTGAGGTTTTTTAAATATGCAAATAATAACACATCCATGATATCTTCGAATGGTCTGTTTGCATCTAATTTTACTCATTTACAGAATATAATCTTTCACATTCATCTTTCTTCCCTTTTTCTGTTGCAAATGTGAAGAAACCACGGAAAAATTTAAGCATTATGTTAATTTTCCTATCTATAGCTATTCATCTTGAAAAATTATTTTTTATTTCATTTTGTTCATTCATAGTTTATTCAAATTTATAAAAGGTAGCTTACACTTCACCGTAACAAGATAAACAAATGTTACTTGCACAAACTGGGAGAAATCAGGACTGCTTTGTTTACATGATCTGCTTTATACTGTGATACTGCTTAATTATTTTTCCGTTCAACACATTTTTTTTTTTTTTTGATTTTGCACCGGGTGTCCGAGTCTCTTTGAGCCCCGACTAATCCCGGGGGTGCACAGGCCCGTTCAACACATTTTACAAGTTATACTTTGCAAGAATTGGGAGAACTCAGGACTTCTTTATGTGCTCTGCTTTTTCTTCCGTACCGCGTAATTGGTTATAACTTGGTATTTCTTCGTCAGAGGAGTGTTGGATTATCTTAGTCCCTGAAACAAATTAATTCCAAGCCAAAAGAAGTTGGCCAATGGAGAATTGACACAAGGAATCAGGGCCTACCTCCATTTATAGGAAAGGGGCACATATTATATAGGTCTATTTTGCTTTGGGGTAAATTTTGATCTTTTATCATGTAAATGTGAATATTAAGTCATTGACCATAGCTTTCAGGAGAATCAAGAATGCCTTCATGCACTCAACAACTTGCTAGATGTCTATTTGCATGCTTGTCAAGTAGAAATATGCCTAGTTGTGCCTAATTTTTCTCTCACTTTTTTCTTTGCAAGTAGGAAGATGAGAATGCTCTTCTGCGTTTCCTAGAATGCAAGTTTGGTAAAGGGCAACCAGGTGGCCCTGAATTCTTTTATGATCCCAAATATGCGCTACGCCTTTGCCTCAAGGAAAAGAGAATGCGAGCTTGTGTTCATATATACAGCATGATGTCTATGCATGAAGAAGCAGTTGCACTAGCACTACAGGTTCTGTTCCAATACTGATTGCCTTCTTTGTGTTTGCTGGTAGTCTAGTGGGTCTTTTAACCTTCCTGCTTATATTCTGCAATTTATGACTACATTAACTATTAAGTTAGCTGATTCCGCCTAGTGGAAAATTAGCTTAAAAAAAGCTAGCTGATTTGTCATGTTAGGAATTTTCATGCATCATTTACTGTCCTTTGGGCTTAAGCTGAATGGAAAAGTGGAAGGGATGAGGTTGGTCTATTAACTGTTGCGTGACACATGCGTAGGAAAACAAAACTAAGGATAAGTTGGCAAGCACAAGCTTTACTTGTTACATACACTAAATAAAGAGAAAAAAGAAAGTGTAAAATCGACAAAACTTATCTGATTGATTTTTTCCTTATTTATTTGTTTTCAAGTTGTTGCTCCAAAAATCAAGGTCATGGTGGAGTTTGTGTATGATGAAAAATGACATATTTTCATTCTAGACAAACAACGTTGAGCTAATCATATAGTCATCAAATGTCCACACTTTGATTGCTTGGATATCATCTAAACATTCCTTTCTAATTTCTACTGCTACCGACTGTTTCTTCTTTTCCTTTTGGTCCCAATGCTTGATGTAGACTGAACTTGTTTCTTTTATGATTCTAATTTTAGTCCTAATATACCAAGTTTATGTTGCCTTATTTGCTTACTGATATTTACAATTGTTGTCTGGGCGTTGTATTTATTTTTGAAAGTAACAAAAATGCTTTCAAGAGTATTTGAGCCAATGTTTCCAAAGGAGAATATCTTAAGCAAACACTAACGTCTACTGGGTTTTAGGCACGGTGCCCACTTTAGCGATGTAAGATGCGGGAGAAGGAAAAAAAATAAAAAAAATGTATGTGTTACGCAGAAATTCTATGCTTCACCTATAGATCCTGTCAGGTTTTGGCATCACTTTCAAAATCTTTTCCATAAGTCTCTCGCGGAGAAGACACCATTCACAACTTCCTTTAATTCAATAGGTTGATCCAGAGCTTGCGATGGCTGAAGCAGACAAGGTTGAAGATGATGAGGACTTGAGGAAGAAGCTTTGGCTTATGATTGCTAAGCATGTCATTGAGCAGGAAAAAGGAACCAAAAGGGAGAATATACGAAAGGCAATTGCTTTTCTCAAGGAAACTGATGGTCTATTAAAGATTGAGGACATCTTACCCTTCTTCCCAGACTTTGCATTAATTGATGACTTCAAGGTAAGTTCCACTGGCTTAATACTTCACTGCTTCTAATATTTGTTGGTTTTAATCCTTTATATTTCTTCATTGGAAAGTTGTAATATAGCTTACCAGATAAATTACAGCCTCACCTTAACCTGTCTAAGGAAAAGAACATAGATAGCTGTTTCTGATCAACCAGTTGAAGTTTAAAAGGTAAAGTCAAAGAATCGGATAAGGAAGAAAAGAGATGTGGAATTTAAGAGCAACTAGTAGGTCTCAATGAGAAGTTCGATGGTCCTGCATCTGCAGGTTGACAACACATACTGTATAAAAGGCAGAATATTTGGCTGAGTCTGAGATTTTTGTACTACCTTACCTACCATGCTTTGATCTCTTCTTTTATCAATTCTATCATGACTGTGTTACTAAATTTATGATTGGTTCAGAAAATCTAAAAAATACTCATTCTTCCATTTTCTTCATGGTTTAATTCGTTTGCATCAAGCAAATCATTTTATTTGGACAATCAATTTTCAGTCTCTGTTTTCCAACTCCTAGCCAGGGGCGGATCTAGCACTATTGATGTGGGTTCATTAGAACCCATAACTTTTAGCCTAGACTTGGATTTATCTATGTAAAATCCACTGAAGTTGCTGAAAATGCTGAACTATGAACCCAAAACTCAAACAAGGTGATGGGCTCAGTGGTTGGAACATGAGTCATGAACTCATAGAAGGATCTGCCTCTGCTCCTAGCTAAGAGTTGTTTGAGCTTCAGTCTTTTCTCTAAACTAAGCTTTTAGTGCTTATGTTGTCTTGTCATTCGATAATGGTCTTTTCTATGTTCAACTGCTTCTACATTAACTTGTTTCAATAATTTTTATAGGAAGCAATTTGCTCATCCTTAGAGGATTACAACGAGCAAATTGAAAAATTAAAGCAGGAGATGAATGATGCAACCTGTGGTGCCGATAACATTAGAAATGACATCAGCGCTCTTGCTCAGCGATATACTGTCATTGATCGGGATGAGGAATGTGGGGTAATGGTCTCCTGATGTTTGTTCTTTTGCATTTCTTTAGCATTACCTCCATTATATGCTTGTATCTGTATTGCTTATTTCTTTCTCTCTTAGGCATATAATCTGATTCTGTCGCAGACTTCAGGATAATAGGTGTAGCCTGCTAGTATTTTATTCTTCATCGTATCTGCAATATTTTTTGTTCGTAGACTGATGTACATGCATTCCTTTGGCTTTCTTTCTTTCTTTTTTTCCTTTTTACTAAGCTTCACTCCAATATTTTTTCATTTTTAGGTTTGTCGGCGGAAAATATTAAATGTGGGTGGTGATTATCGGATGACTAGAGGTTATATGGCTGTAGGACCAATGGCTCCCTTCTATGTCTTTCCGTGTGGTCATGCGTTTCATGCACAATGCCTGATAGCTCACGTGACTAGGTGTACTAATCAAGCTCAAGTAAGTAACAGGAGTGTCTTTTCCTGCTCAGCTTCTTCTCATCATTTGAATAGTGGTTGTACTGCTTTGTCTTCTCATCTCTTCATATATGTGAGAGCACATTTTTATTGTCTTATCTGTATTTTGCATTATTGACATTGGCAAACCATGTTGAAAATGATCTTGTTACTTTTGCTTAGTGCAATTATGAATTAGGTTATTTGCTTGAAAATTTATTCACTTTTTGGGAATTATGAAATTCGGCGCAAGGGATGGAGGTAAAGGTGAGATTCAGTCTCAGGACCTCCTGGCTATGGTCTAAGCTTTGAACATTAAACCAACGCAGCAGATCAGTGTTGTCAAAGGTTCATTTAAGGCGCGCTTAAGCCCCAAAAAGCTCAGGGAGGGCGCTTCGCCTCTCTTAAGCTGCGTTTTTGTGTAGGCAAGGCACTTAGGCGTACACCTCATTGCCCATGAGTTCTATCTTGGACTAGCGGTACTAAACAACAAATATTATCGGCAAATAAGTGTATTAACTGTTAAGGAAAACATTAGGAATGAATTTGTTTCTTTTTTCTTGTATTACATATGTATTTTTACTTTTTTTCTTAGTTGCGCCTTTCTATACTAAAGCCCGCACTTTAGTTGCACTTTGCGCTTAAAGCCCCAATTGAATTGGAGCGCTTTTTAGAGCTTTTCGCTTTTGACAACACTGATGCGGATAGTTATGTTGCAGGTTGCTAGGTTTTCAGAGTAAGTAATAGTGTTTCTGATGATAATGTCTTTTTCTTTCTGGTGTTATGCTGGTCTTCTCAATATTTAGTTGTCTTTAGAAATTTTGAAGAGATTTCTTGGTTTAACAAGTTTGCATGGATATGAGTGGGGCCTTTTAGGCAGTGACTAAACGATTAGTAATTGGATTAGTTGGAAATGTTCTCAAAACCTGGGTGGGTGAACACTGATTTGATGCCTTCGCTCTTACATTTATAAATTACATTTGTTAGAAAGGGTGAGATGATTATGGGTAATTTTCTGTGAAGCTCAACATTCGTGGAACAACTGATAATAGCAAATAGCCTTAAATAGAGTGGATTGCAAGTGTTGACTTCAGGTCCGAAATCTTTTATGTCATGGTATATACACGCTGTATTCATCACACAAATTTATGTAGGGATGGAAATCATCTTCTTGGTGTTGCTGTTGCTATTGTTCAAGGATTGCCATTATCTGACTTCTAAATTATGTTAATAAAAGCCATAACTTCGTTGCTTAAAGCTATGAAGCTATGCAACACAATGGTCTTCATGGGTGAAGTCATGCGCTTTAGAGAGTGTATGCTTTAAACAATGACGCACAAAGTGAATACTTGCTTCTTACAAAAGAAAAATATTAAAAAATAATGACGCACAAAGTGATTCTGGCAAGAATTAGTTGCTTCTTTGAATTTCAACTTTGAGGAGTTGGACTAATATCCGCATCATTGTATATTGGATACTGAAATTAGTTACTGTGAGAAGGCACGGGAGAAAATATGTTATTGATATTAGATGAACAATACAATACAAGAGGTCCTTATTTATAGCTATACTATACAAGGACATACTATTCTTCTACCAATGTGGGACAATACTACACTATATACATGATGTAAACTAACACTCCCCCTCAAGTAGGTGCATACAAATCATATGTACCGAGCTTGTTACATATATAACCAATACGAGGACCAGTGAGAGACTTGGTGAAAATATCTGCAAGTTGATCATTCGACCTCACAAACTTTGTAGCAATCTCTCCTGAAAGTATCTTTTCGTTGACGAAGTGACAATCAATCTCAATGTGCTTAGTTCTCTCATGGAACACCGGATTTGATGCAATATGAAGGGCAGCTTGATTATCGCACACAAGTTCCATCCGACTGATTTCACCAAATTTCAACTCCTTGAGCAATTGTTTGGTCCAGACTAGCTCACATGTTGCCATAGCCATTGCTCGATATTCTGCTTCTGCACTAGACCGAGCAACTATATTCTGTTTCTTGCTCTTCCAGGACACCAAATTTCCTCCTACTAAAACACAATATCCAGACATAGAACGTCTATCAGAAGGTGATCCTGCCCAATCAGCATCTGAGTATCCAATGATCTGCTCATGACCT